TGGAGCAGAATGTCATCTATAAACCATTATAATACTATTATAGATGGGGGCTTCCTCGCAGATGTGATGGGGCAAAGTTGACTGAGCCCAGAGCAGCTCCTTAATCCCTTGGTGTCCAGTGTGGGGTTTGTACACCCCCCACCATAGAGCTCTAGTCAAGAACCAGGACCGCATTGTGCTAGGTGCTATACAAATACAGAATAAAGATAGTCCTTGACCCAAAGAATTTACAAGTCTGCTACTGCACAACCTATTGCTGGAAAGAGATATCACCTTTTGACCCTGGCTATTGTCCTTTCTGTCTCAACTTTCTACAGCAGCCGGTCCTTATCTCCAAACCCAACACACCTAGACCTCCACTTCATTAAATGTACATTGTCTGTTCTTAACTACAGCTGTATGGCAGCACAGTAATGACCTCAGGCTTGCAAAAGGCCATATGGACTCAAGTCTGCAGAATCAAGCTCTCAATGGCTAGCAACAGCATCCCAATGTCAAAAAGCATAAAATTCGACTGTACACTATGGAGCTAACTATAATGACATTTTCACCAACATGGCCAGGACTGTTTGAATAACTTCCTTTGTTTTTAAAAAGGTCAAGCTAAAACCTATTTCGTTAGAAATTTGTTAGCTACAATGACTGGTATCACTTTGAAGTGGGAAGGTAACTGTATGGATATAAATATACTTACACTTCAGTAAAGCATTTGACTAAGGACTGGTCTACCCTGGGAACTTACATCAGCATAGCTATGTCTCTCAGGAAAAATCCCCATCTCTGAGAGACAGCTATGCCAAGCTAACCCCTGTATCGACAGTGCTAGGTCGATGGAAGAATTCCAATCTAGCAATGGCCTCTCAGTGAAGAGGATTACCTATGCTGATGGGAGAACCCTTCCATTGGCATAGGTAGTGCCTACACTGAAACAGGGCTGGCTCCAGGAACCAGCCGACCAAGCACGTGCTTGGGGCGGCACCTTAGAAGGGGTGGCCAATGTTGAGGTGGCGGGGGGCGCTCGCAGTGTTTTTGGTTTTTTTGTTCGGCGGGGTGGCGCTTGAGGGGTTTTTTGTGTTTGTTTTGGCCGGGCAGCGCGGGAGGTGTTTCGGCAGCGTGGCCCGGGGAGGTGCTCCGGGGGGGGGGGGGAGGGGGGCGCTCTTCTTTTTTGCCTGGGGTGGCAAAAAAAGTTAGAGCCAGCCCTGCACTGAAACACTACAGCTGTAGTACTGTGGCTTTTAAGTGTAGACATACCCTTAGTTTCATGTGACATTCTGATTAAAAAACTGCACTATGCCAAAAATCAGTGTAGCCCATATTAAATGGATTGAAAACTGGGTTAGCTGATAGACTGCAAAGAGTCATTGTAAATGGGTAATCGACAGCCATTTACTTTTAACAGTAGAAAGCTCTTTAATCTAGCAGGGAAAAAGAGGAACAGTGCGATGCAGTGGTTGGAAGCTGAAGACAGAAAAATTCAGACTAGAAATAAGGAGCAATTTTCATTCTCTTAAAAAAAGCAAGATTGTTAATAACTGGAACAACTAACCTAGGGACATGGTGGACTGTCCATCATTTGCAGTCTTGATTTAAAGATTGGATATCTTTCTAAAAATATGCTATGGCTCAAACAGAAGTGATGGGCTTGATGCTGAAATTGGGTGAGTTCCTTTGGCCTGCATTATGCAGGAGGTCAGACTGGATGATAATAATGTTCTCTTTTAGCCTTAAAACCTATGAATCCAGGATATAAAGACCCAAACATTATTAATTCCTTTGGTATTTAATGCAATAAATTTAATCATGATTAATCCATCTGACATAACGATGGTGCTGTAAGTACTTCAATAGGATTTCTACTGTAATCCAGCATTAACAGGATGACTCTGTGAAGTGTTATCAGATTGCTTACTGGAGTATCTGCTTTTAATTGCAACAGTAGCAAAAAGCCATTCATCTTTGACTCGCTCTACAAGCTAATTATACAAAGATACAGGAACAGTATTAAACATTTGACCCAAATCCTTGTATGCAAGCACCATGATGACCTATTACCTTAAAAAAATTTTTAAAAGACTGTTCTAATCCCATCATATTTCTTTGGCGATATTTGAAGTTTCATCCCATTATTTACAGTTGCGTCAGTCATGTATTGTAATAAAATTCAATTGTTAAAACAAGGTCATATTTCTTTAAACCACTGACAAGAAAAAAAAATATCCTGGTTTTGATACAGACTTCTTGAATTATGCTGTTGTCCAAATAGGACTCACTCAGGCTCTGGGAAATACAAAGGAACCCATTACCCTGCCGCACAATTCTCTAAGATCAACACAGAAAAATAAGTGTCAGTTTATTCCTTCATATATGCACTTTGGTCCTGCTCCCCTTGAAACAATGCATTTTAGGAGACCGATAACTCCATCTCCTAAATGAAATGTCCACTTTTCTAGATTTTCAGAAAGCATTCATGTTCTGAGGCACTCCCTGATACCTGTTGCTCTATTTGACCTCTATTAATTTTGCAATTTCTTACTTAAAAAAAAAAAAACAAAAAAACCAACCACACTCACTGAAGTATTCAAAGGGTCTTCACAAGCTGAATATTCCCGAAAATCTCATTACATGTAGCAAATTCGTTTAAAAGATTCCTCAGACTTTGTCAGCTGGTACTCTTTGGTCAAAGAATCATCCTCTTGGTTTAATCATTCTGAGAGGAATCAAACTTCAGATTCAGCTTTTCAAATGCTGTACTTTAAATACCACCACCAGATTAATTCATAAACATGGAACCAAATGCATTAAATTAATTAAACCATTTGATACCTGTAACAGTGAAACTTAGAGGACTTTATTAATGAGAGGGAACATCTTAATTATAGCATTTAGAAGAGGACAACTAAAGAAGCTAATCCCTCAGCTGTTTATTTTTTTGTCTCCTTTAACCATGGTTATAAAAAAATTAAAAACAAAGTTAATTGTGCAGTTCTCTCTACTGTGGTACCGCTATGGACCTCATCATATTCAGCCAAACATTGAACACTACTGAAGCAAACCGGGAAAGACAAGGACATTTATACAAAAGGCAGTATATTTCACCTGCACTTTTTTCTGTTTTCCCCTCCCTATTGCAGTGAAGTGCATCTTCCTTTGGGTCTGTAGCAAAATCATAATCACGGGCCAAATTCCAGGTCCAATCCATGGCAAGCTTCCATTCCCACGCAGTATCAGGCCATTTTCTCATATATACACATGCAAGTCTAATTGAAGACCTTCGCTTCACACTAAAGTTAGAATCATAGAATATCAGGGTTGGAAGGGACCTCAGGAGGTCATCTAGTCCAACCCCCTGATCAAAGCAGGACCAGTCCTCAACTAAGTCATCCCAGCCAGGGCTTTGTCAAGCCTGACCTTAAAAACCTCTAAGGAAGGACATTCCACCTCCTCCCTAGGTAACCCATTCCAGTGCTTTACTATACTCCTAGTGAAAAAGTTTTCCCCTAATATCCAACCTAAATCTTCCCCACTGCAACTTGAGACTATTACTCCTTGTTCTGTTATCGGGTTCCGAAGAGGATGGATCTAGACTGTTCTCAATGGTACCACTTTTCAGATAGTTGAAAGCAGCTATCAAATCCCCCCCTCATTCTTTTCTGCAGACTAAACAATCCCAGTAGCCTCAGCCTCTCCTCATAAAAGTCATGTGCTCCAGCCCTCTAATCATTTTTGTTGCCCTCTGCTGGACTCTTTCCAATTTTCCCCCACATCCTTCTTGCAGTGTGGGGCCCAAAACTGGACACAGTACTCCAGATGAGGCCTCACCAATATCAAATAGAGGGGAATGATCACATCCTTCAATCTGCTGGCAATGTTCCTACTTATACAGCCCAAAATGCCGTTAGCCTTCTTGGCAAGAAGGGCACACTGTT